CCAGCTATGTTTATTAGCTACAACCTCTAGCAAGAATCTTCCCAGACTAAAACCTCATCTTCTTGTTCCTCCCACGCGGTTCTGGTGAGCTAAGAAAATGTTTATCTCCCTGAGCTTGGCCTTCATAATTCCATTCCATCATAGTATCTGAATGCAACTCCATGATTTCTTTGTTCAACATTTAATTACCAGATTGATGTTTGATATGATGGCCTCCTCCTTCCTGACCTTCGAATTTAATGATGATATATAACACTGATTATTCTAGGTTTCAGCTCCAAGGAAGACATGGTCCCAAAGCCTTTGAAGCCAGTTTCCCAGGGAAATCCAAGTATGTGAATCTGAAATTTATTTAGGCCCTTTCATAGTCATCTTTTTTAGTAGACAAAGAGAAGAACATTTTATTGACTTGGCTTTTCATGAATGAAATATGCTTTTTGGGGGAGGGGGCAATAGGGTCAAAGAGGAATGTGGCGAGAACCACTAGTGGGGACAGATTAATTCCCATTCAAGCCTATTCAAATTTTGATCACTTATTAATAAATGCAGATTTTTTTCATTAGCTTGAAGCAATGGCAAATTATTACTATGTAAAGGTACTATCTGTTAAGAATAAATTTGGTTACTGCAAAAAGAGAGAGAGAAGGAATGACTTTTTTATCCAGAGTTGTGTTAACCAATATAAGAAGATGAGTGTGAAGGCATGTATTCAAGAGATAGCAATCAGGGTTTAAATATTCAGACTGGAGAAACAGATCAAAAAGCCTTAAAGAAGAGAATCAGCAAAAGAGAATATATGTAGTCAGATTTGAACTATGGACTCCTTGGTGCTCTCTGAGCTTGGTTGTTTGCTTGCAAACATTTCATTATCCAGCTAGATAACATCATCACTGCGAATGTGGGGTTTGCTCCCTGTTTATATACAGTAGCTTGCTCTGCCAGTTTTGGTGGGGGTGTGGTTTCCTCCTTGATGGTTCTTTGATTAGGGTATTGTTTTCTGCTTGACTGTTTGCCTGGTGTTAACCCTGCTTATCTGGGTGTTGGCTGTTGGAGAGGATGTGTCTTTTTGTTTCCTTCTTAGATTTTTTAATTGTCTCTTTTGAATGGTACATAAATATGGTTTATTTCTATGTGTCTATTGATGGCTGATTTGTCTGAATGCCAAGCTTCCAGGAATTCCCTAGCATTTTTGGATTTAGCTTGGCCTAGGATGCTCACAGTTTCCCAGTTGAAACTATGGTTGAGTCTGTCCATGTGTTGTGAGATTAAGGAGTTTTCATCGTGTCTTCTGGATGCTCACAGTTTCCCAGTTGAAACTATGGTTGAGTCTGTCCATGTGTTGTGAGATTAAGGAGTTTTCATCGTGTCTTCTGTGGTTGTTGCAATCCTTACACTGTATGTTGTAGATGACTCCTGTTTTTTCTTCTTGGGCTACTGGATCTTTTGGTTTACTTAAGATTTTTTGGAGGGCTTTAATTGGTTTGCATGCTATGGTGATGCCATGTGATTGTAATAGTCTGTTGGTTGTTTCTGAGATGTTTTTGATATATGGTAGTGTTATCCTTTTCATAGCTTGTGTTGGTTGTGCTGTAGTAGGTTGAGTGGTCATGTTATCCTTTTCATAGCTTGTGTTGGTTGTGCTGTAGTAGGTTGAGTGGTCATGTTATCCTTTTCATAGCTTGTGTTGGTTGTGCTGTAGTAGGTTGAGTGGTCAGGCACTTTTTGATAAAGTTGTGTGGGTAACCATTTTGTGGAAAGATGTTGTATAGCTGGTCTGTTCCCTTTTTCAGGTGTTCTGGGTTGCTGCAGTGAGTTTGTACTCATCTGAATAATGTTCTTACACAGCTCCTCTTGTGGGAGGTTGGGTTGTTACTTTGGTAATGAAGCACTTGGTTAAAGTTAGGGTTATGGGCTCACCACTCACAGGACTCAGAGCAAAGACCATAACGCAGCGTCTAGAAACTATAGCACTCCCACACATTCAAACAGAAGTATAGATCTGGTATGTAGATGACACCATCATAATAAAAAAGGAACAACTAGAGAAGCCACATAAAACAATCAACAAAATCTTTAAAGGAATAAAATTCACAAGGGAAGAAGAAAACAACAACATCCTACCCTTCCTGGATATCCTCATCAGCAGAGGAAACAACAGCAAACTAGAAACGCAAGTCTATCAAAAAACAACACACACTAACCAAGTGCTCCATGACCAAACTAATGACCCAACCTCACAAGGACTCCATAGAAGAGAATCACTTCCATGACTGTCAGAATAGCAATTCCTACTTAAATAAAGTAGAGCAGTTGTATTCTGAAGAAGGTGAATCACTTTTAAAAGTGGCAGCTTAAATGAAAATGCAGAAACTGGTTTATTCAGTTACAATGTGCACTAGAGGGAAGGAAAGAGAGAGAGTAAAACTATTTCACATAGCTAAGCTGTTCCTGGACTAAACTTCATTCTGTTGTTGGGTGAACTGAATGGCCTAGACAGATAACCCTCACCTATAGAAAGTCAGAAGAAAGTCAGAGAACGTCATAGCATTCTTCCTATTATGGTCAATCAGTAGTTATAAAGCATAGGTTGTTTATACTCTCACACCTACAGCGTTATAGGGTTGGATGCAGCTTTATTGTTGGATGAATAGGAAAACTTACTTTGTTTGCAGAAGGGACTCAAGCCAACAAGGGCAATATTTATCTGTTTCTCCTTTCCCCTGAAGCCTCTGTTCTAGTTCCCATGCTATTGCATGGGACTTTAGAGGAATCTTCAGGGTGCATATGGGACCACAGGGATGGAGAAATTAGCTTCTCCTTCTCCCCCCTGAAGAAGAGTCCAACCAATAGTTCTCCAAAAACCCTAGAACTCACCTGAAGCTTTTGCACACCCCTGCAATTGGGCTGTTGGTCACAAAAAATCACCAGGATACTCCTAATTAGAACAGAGGCTGTGAAAAAGTGGTTGGATGGCTGTTCATTGCTGCAACAGGTGCTGTGGCACGAGGGGCTACATCTCCGGTTGGGATGCTTGCAAGCACCGCTTATGGCAATCTCGGTTGCCTTGCACCTTCTCCCCTCTATGAAGGTTGCAAATATGGCTATAACTGCAAATAATGATTGGTAGACTATTTGAGAGCTTCTCTGGTCTAAGATAAATGAGGTGTTATGATCTCCTTATCATCATGCAATACAGATGGTCCTGTGCTTTTAATTTATTTTATTCTATACTCTTTTCCTAGATTGCAAAGTTGACTTGGCCTTCTTGATAGATGGGAGCTGGAGCATTGGCAGGCGCCGCTTTCAGATCCAGAAACAGTTCCTCAAAGACGTAGCGCAAGCCTTGGATGTTGGCGTAGCTGGGCCTCTCATGGGCATTGTTCAATATGGGTAACAGTATTGTTTTTATAAAATCCATGTATTTAAGAAGATAACAGGAGACTTTAGGACAGATTTTAGAAAGACTTGTTTTTTTCAACCTAACACTGAGGTATGTATGTATGTGTGTATACACACACACACAGACACACACACCTACAAAAATAAATAACAATAAAATCCAAAGACATGTTAATTCCCTTTCTAACACCTTTTTCATGAGTATTTATGGACTTAAGAGAATATGTAGCTTTAGGTTTGCTAACACATCATAATAGAACGTTGGTCAGTAATTGGATGGGGTGGACTTTCACTTCTTCTATAGTGCACTAAAGGTGACACTCTAAAAGTAGTAGGGGACTTTTAGGGGAAGGGCCAAAGCAAAAAAAAAAAAAAAAAAGGGGAAAAGTGTGACATAAATTAATATTCTGCCTCTGGCAGTAGCCAAATATGTCCAAGAGTTCCAGAAGAATGGCATAAAAAATGTAGGA